TATTTCAGAAATACCTTCTGTTAAAAATACAGATTCTGTACTTTTTGTACTCATTTATTTAAGTTTCTTATCAATTTGATAACTGTGAGGTAGTACAGTCAAAAGTCGTTAATTCGGACACCCATAATCCGGAATAATCTATAATCCAGACCTCAAAGCTAAAATCTTTCTGCGCATAGGCGTTTTTACACGTGCGCGCAAGACATTTACGACTGCCTGCGCATATGCGTCTGCGCAAGCGCAGAATACATTTTCGCATGCGCGTTTAATGTATAACGGACGGTATAAGCTAAAATTATCTAATTATCTATTTCAGTTAATGTTGATGATTGCTTTGTTCCTTAATCTTCGAATTGGATCCGGCTTATTATTTTTTGCAGACTGTAAGAGCAATTTTATAAAAGTAAGCTTGCACTTTCGATTATGTCAAATAGAATTTCCGATGCTGGAGCTCCCAAAGGATCTAGAAAATGAAAGTATGTTTCGATGTCCATCAACCAAAAAACGAATTGCTACAAAAAATGGATAAACGCATATCCTTTGTTTATCTAACCGTTCCGAAATATGTTTATCAATTTCACGCTGCTCTGCGTGGGGGAGGGGGGACGTTGCGGCGCGCAGTGAACTGGAAGTTGATCTGTCAGCACTATCATTATCTTCAGGTAAGATGTTTTTATTTTATTTGGCTTATAATTCCTCACTAAATGTAGTATTTAATCTCGATGTACTCCGTCTTTGATATGATTTAAATCAAATTCCTCGTCATTATAAATATCACGATTACAAATCAAATAGTTTTCTGGTTGCAATTTTCTAATTTCGGCTATGCGTAAGGTATGCTTTACGCATGTGCGCGTTGAAAGAAATGTTTACTAAAGTAAACAAATAAATATTAAGCTTCTTTTTTTGTAAATTTTGATACCCTTTAGATCATAATTGCTCATTATTTTATAAATTACGGTTTCATATTTTTAATTTTATAATTTCTGCATGCCATCTTACCAGATTTAAACTGATGATCTATAATCCGGAAAAATCGATAATCCGGAATCGCCGAAGTCCCGACGAGTTCGGATTAAAGACTTTTGACTGTATACATTTGAAGATGGAAGAGGCTCAAGAATGGAACATTGAAAAGAAAAAAAAAATTAAAATATAATAATTTCAACTCCTAAATTTTATTGCTGTATTTTATTCTGCACTTTAGGTGCCAGATATCAGTGAAATGTGTTGCAACTAACATTTGAATGCTCTTTAGCTAATTTTTAAGTTTTTGCATCTACCTGAAATATTTAAACTGTAACAACACTTGATATTCTATTGAGTTTTCTTGATTTAGGATTTTCCAAGTCAAATCTGAATATATGTGTACTATTCTCTGGGTTTCTCGCAACAAATTTACTAAAAATTATTTATGATCAATTATCAGACCAAAATAAAATAATCATTCTATAATTTGTACTGAAAACAATAAAGACATTAAGTACAATGGTTAAATAAATAACTTTATTGGCATGGAAGCTATGAAAGTGAAATTAATGTAATTATGCAAAAAAAGTGGATTAATTTCTAAATTAGTGTGAACACTTTTGTATAATTATTATGTCAATAAAAATTACTTGTAATGGAATCACTATGTCTATTTGGTTCATTACCATTTTCTGCCATCAAGAGATCCAAGAATGAAACTGCACAGGAGGTATAGTTACAGTTAGTTACAGTATTAATTTGTATTATTTATAACCAGTCACTACAATATTTGCAGAACAGATCCAAGTTGTTTGTAGAGGCCAGATCAAAAAGAAATAAAAACAAATTGTAGGAGCTGATTAAATTTATTTATTATATTGTACTGGATTTCAGTACTCTTTTTTTAATTTTTCAAAGTAGTATTGGATTAAAACCGCACCGCCATGAAAAGTAGCCAACTCGTTGACATTTTTGTGAATTGGTAAATGGCTTAGAAATAGCATTCTGTTCATAAATAATAATAATAAAAAAAAGGGCAGCATTTTATAAGAAAAAAAAGATGAGAAAAAAATCTATGTGGCCAGTATTTAAATTTTTTGATACAATGGATAATATTCAACGAAATGATGGTTAACATAAAGCATGCAAATGCAAATCCATGTGGTGTGTTGTATGCATTTGCACAGATGCATTTTCAGCAATTTTCTATACTGAAAAAAATTTAGAATATATATATTTTTTCCTATATATTTACTAATGGATTTCTGGCATTTTCTTTATTGCTTTTACTAAAAAAATTAACCTATTTCAATAGTCTAAGACTGTTTAATAGCTCGTAAGCAGTGAAGATTACTTATTCTCTTTTTTCTTTTTCCACTACAACAATTAGCCAAAAATGAATTAATTTCCTTTGTCTAGTCAATATAACATCAAAATTTTAACAGACACCTTTTGCACTCGCAAAACAGTTACACAATCATTTCCCTCCTGCATTCCAAAAAGAGCTTCTCAAAGTCCCCCGACTGTACTAATTCATGCGTTCATTGGTTCGCATTCCAAATTCCTTCTGAATAAGAAGACAGTCACAAACATGTCTACGTTCTCACACTCGCAAGAACAAAAGTTAACTAATTCGTATTTTGGCCATCTCTGTATATAATGTACATTTTAATTTTTACATTTTAATGTACCTTATTTTCTGTAAATATCTTTCAATATTTTTGTTTCATTAATTTGCAAAGATATTTCTTATGTTTATAAGGATTACTTTTAATTATATTTCATAAATTTCACAAAAATTATATCAAGATTACTTAGAATTAACATGATGAGGGTGTCGGGGACACTTTACTCAAGTGAGAGAAAAAGTTTTTTACTACTACTCAATTTAGCAAAAAGTTTTTACTACTACTCAATTTGGCAATAATATCTCATAAAAAATTTATAAGCTAAACGAAACTGCCACATTCATATTGAATTCTACATAGCCCTTCACTTTTATTTATCTCACTTTAAATCTAATTGGGTTAAACTCAACTTACCAGTTTGGTATTATAATTCTTACTTGAGAACCTTCGCATTTATTAATTATTGTTGGTTGATTGGGGGGGTTTGTTCCCCTTGAAAAGTCAACCAATTTCCGATCAATAACGATAATTACTTAGTTTGTTGATTAATTTTTCATTTTGAAAGTTTCCATTTCAACTTTTTCATAATTTTCCATTTTTAAAAGTTTCCATTTCAACTTTTTCATAATTTTTCACTTTTAAAAGTTTCTATTTCAATTTCATGATTCAAATTGAAGTTCCTTTTAAAACATTTTTCAAGATTCAATTTTAAATGCTTTTAAGTTACTTCATTCAAATACCATTCTAGATAGATAAGGAGATAATATACTCAATAATCCATTAGTAAATATATTATTATTTTATTGCTTTGCAGCTTTTGTGCAAGTATAAGAAATTTATTTCAATTTATTAATGTTTTTAATTTGTTTCTATATACATACAGAGTTAATTTATATAAAGAATGTTATCATTTGGTCTCAGAAACAGTAGGTTATTTCACCATTGCACAACAAATTAATACTCCTTTAATTCGTTAGAAAACATTTGCTATCATAATTTATCATAAATTTATTTTCAGCTTTATTTATCATATCAGTTTCATTTATCATCATGTCATTAAAGTAAGGAACTATTTCTGCTTTAAAATTTAGTGGCTAATTTATTTTATCTTTATTTCACAGAATTTGTATTTGAAAGATATTTTACCGGGAGGTTCAAATGGTTATTATATTCCATTTGTTGCATACTATACACCATGGCCATAAAAGTCCTTATGTTACCACCAATGGCCATATGTAGTGGTGAGAAATAAAAATGTTAAAAAGGGCTTGTACTCTTATAAAATAAATCTTATAAAAATAAAATGTCAAATTTTAATTAAATGCTAATATTTACAAAAACAGAAAATAAAAATACAAATAACTGTACATGAACAAAATAATGGTAAAAAATCTTTAAAATAATAAAACAATATTACAGAAATTACATAATATAAAAGTAAATTCAATTAGATGGCACAATTTGTGGCAAAAGCTGCCAAACATTTTCTTATTCTTTTATGGCAGTTCATACTTTAGCAGCTTCTAAAGTCACATAATGATTTTTTTAAATACTTTTATGTGAAGTTTGGGAATAAATTCTTTTAAAGCTTTTCATTTAAAGAGACAGTCATTAAATCCGAGATATGAAAAGTGAAAGATCATCATGTGATCATACTCAGCTGAAACAAAACAGCTGAAACAACGACAGTGAAAGATCTTACTCAGCTGAAACAATCTGATACCTAACAATAAATTTACTGAAAAGAGATAGCATTATTTAACACCTGTTTCAATTGTAGATTATTTAATATGCAATTGACAGAACTTCAATGAAACCAGATGAGATCCTAAACTTAAGGAACAGAAAGACTAATAAAAGTCAAAGTATGATGATGAAACATAAGGCCTTTTTCTTGCAATAAATAGAGTTAAAAAAAGAACAACAAGTCTAGCAGAAACCCTCAAAAGCTCACAAATGGCCCTAGATATATAGTTCCACTTAAGGGAAGGCTTGATTAAAAAATGAATTAGAATGAATTGCTCGCCCCCACCCTACAATATCATTAATATCATAATAATTTATAATTTTGTTGCACATGGTATGGTAAAAGAATTTTCATACAAATGATTTGTAATTTTTTTTTTAATTTATGAATAGTGCATACATTAAGGAATTTGTATGCTACTTAGTTGATAACAAACTGGAGTTCTGTAATATGAATCTCCAGTAAATCATCATATATTCTCTAGAAATAATGAAAGATCTTTTTAAACACTGGAACAGCTTGAAGTGCTGTCTGTATAAATATGCAAACAATAAATTAACTATAAAAACGAAATTTAATTTTCACATTCAATAAATTTTTACGAATCAAAATTGTTTTAATTTACCAAATGCTTACTAATGAAAATAGAACCATAATTTGCAAATAAATAAAATATGGATTTTATTTTAAATAATTCATCCAGTAAGTCTAAAATGCTGCACAATAAACAGCAGTCTAAACTCAATTCATGAAAATATTTACATACACTTAGTACACTAAAATCTTCTTTGTACAAGATTCAGCCTAGAAATTTCATATCTGCAATAAAAAATAATAAGCATTAAAAAAATAAAAGGTTTCATATTTATCTTATTACAAGTAAACTCAGTTAAGTATCAACTTACAAATAGAAAGAACAGCCTCTCAAGTTTCATGAATTAATATTTTATTACAAACTTGAATCTTGCATGCAAACTATTTTAAATTACACATACCTTTTACTTTGCATGTACTTTAAAATGCCCTATTTATTTATTTTGCAAATTCTAAATTGATCTCTCCCCCCCTTTTTTTTATTATTTTTTTTTTAGATATAAGATTTAAAAAACAGGTAAGATAAATAACTAACATTAATTGTAATAGCCCCTTAACATTTCTTTATAATTTGGTTAGTTCCCCTTTCCATTTTAAAACCTACAATTTCTTATAATAAATTACTATCATTTCAAAATTAATTCTTTTGACATGATTCTACTGACCAGATACTTTTATAATGTTTAAGCCAATCATTATATTAAAACTTGCAAACTGAAACTTAAATTAGCCAAAAGACATAAAGTAAAACCATAACTGAATCATTCTTAGTCTAATCTGCAAAGTACAAGGGTGCATTCCTTTACCACTTCTCTCACTAGCTGGCTTGCTTACTTGAAAAATTCAAAATTTTTTAAAGAAAGGATGCACTTTTTGCATGAATTTAGCCATGCATGCTTTATAAAAAATATATGCCTAGAATAAAGCATTGTTTTATGAAGAATAAAATATTCAACTGGCTATGACCTGATGCATCATCTTTATGTACCGAGCTCTCTCACTTCATAATTATTGTAGCATCATCAACATCTAAATTAACATACAAACACACACACTTTCTCTCACACACACATACATGTAGTTGGCATAGCTGGCATATGAAGGACATACTGGAACTATTATTATTTAATTTAGATTAAATTATGAACACCTCAAACCTTCCCTTGAATGAAAGGAAAACCCCTTGGGGCCACCAATAAATAAATATCTTTATCATTAAGCAAAATGTACAACTTGACATACAAACAAATTGCATTTAAATTATTATACACAGGAATCAAATACAACATAATACAATACAGTAACATAATTAATACACATACATAAGAACAACTTGTACAGAACATATCTTTGGCATAATCATGCTCCATTAAACAATCACACCCAGTTCAATAGGACTCCTTTCATAGAAGTTCATTGAAATACTTTATTTCTTCTGGTCTTTTCATTTTCATACAACTTATATTTCAAATTAGCTTATTTAAACAACTGAAACTACAAACTGTTAATTAAAGTTCAAATACAGAGTCTGCCTGAATTCATAATCATCTTTAATTTCTTCAAATAATTTATTAATCATAATGATTTCCACAAAGAAAGAGTACTATTTGTTGCTTTAAGTGGGTACATTCTGAATTCAAACTAGATTGATTCCCTTCAAGTTTCAGCTTATACTTCATATTTACAGTTTTGCAATTAGTGTATTCTGGGTCTTCAGAACAATTCCTTAGTTCTGCCCCAATCCTGAATGAGCACATATTTGCTGCATCTTGACTGAAAGTGTTTAACATTTGAAACATATAGTAACATATATTTAGGCTCGTATCACACACGGATCTGTTCCACATGAACAACTGTTTCAAACATTTTTTCTGCTTGGTTTACTACTGAAAGAAAGACACACAATTTTTTTCTTCCTTTTGAACAAATTGCAAGTTGTTCATTTTCAACAAATCAGCTCTCAGCGTTTTTGTAATGGAGAACCAGTTTGCCCTGTGTTAACCCCAAAGTGATCTGTGGGGATTGGCTGTTGTGACAAAGCAGAAAATTTTTTACAAACAGTTGTTCTCCTGAAACAAACAGATGTCTGATAGCAGCCTTACTGTCACTGAAGACCATTATAAGTTGAGCTTTCTGGTCGCAGCCACAGACTTAAAATTTTGTGACAGAACTTGAGCCGACCAATGCAATCTACCATTTTTCCTCTTATTAGGAACAGAAGATCAATCCCATCTCTGAAGATTTCATTTTGCCACTCTAAGGTGTCAATAACGTAAACTGAATTACATTTCACCATCTATATCATACAGTACAAAAAGCTATTCGCACATTTTTTAGATGATTTTGCTTTTCTTAAAAATGAATTGTCTGCTTGTGAATTACTTTTTAAACTGAAGCTATGTTTTTGAAAGTATAAATTATCATTTGCTTCTTGACAGGTTTGTTTCATGCAAAATAGCACTTTTAAAGAAGCAATGGATGGAAGGCAATGTTTGTGTGTTTTAAAAATTATTCGTATCTAGTTATTCAAAGCTGCTGTGTAAGCCATAGCTTTTGAAATCTCAAGCTACTATAGGTATTATTGTCCAAAAAAAGGGGGGCAATGTCAATGTTTGGCTTTAAGTGGAAAAATTGTTCCAAATACAAACCCAAGGAAAAATCACAATGTTCCAAATGTTGTTAAAGTAAGATCTTTAACATTGAAAAATCCACTGTTAATTTCCCGGGAAAAAAAATTTAACAAGAAACAAATATCAAGGCCATACTCTTCACTCATATAGTACATCTCCTGACATATCACTCATGAACTTTCGTGCTTTTCGGCTTTTAAACGGATTATCCAAACCTTGACCTACAACCCTCCTTGGACTTTGAAAAGCTATTCAAGAAGAATAGGATAAAATATCTCTTCAGATACTACAAAAGGCTTCATCGTCTTGGAAATTATGATGTAGGAAGATAGTGAAGAATAAGAATTATCAAACAGAACATTTTAAACATAACAATTTGAAGTAAAATATCTTTGTAAATACAATGAAAATTGTCTAACAAGTGTGTGAGCAGCCTCTGTATTATTTTTGGTTTTTTTCTTTACAGGTCATTTGATCTGCAAATCATCTTTCAATAATACACTGACTTTCACTTCTCCATCCAGTTTATCACTTTCATTCTTATTTGAACATTCCACAACCAAACCACCATTATTAACCTTTCATACATTTCAAATTCCAATTTTAAGTTCAACAGGATTTATCACTTCTACTATTTGGGATTTTATCTCTTAAGATTACCTTATTATTAACACCAATTTACCACTCTTCTTCGGCACATCAACAAGGCATGCTTTTTACTCTTTTTTATTTTGTCCCACTTGCGAAGTCTTTTTCTCCATATTTCTTTGTTCTATTACAAAGTTCTATTACTAGTGAAAGAAAGACACACAATTTTCTTCTTCCTTTTGAACAAATTGCAAGTTGTTCATTTTCAACAAATCAGCTCTCAGCGTTTTTGTAATGGAGAACCAGTTTGCCCTGTGTTAACCCCAAAGTGATATGTGGGGATTGGCTGTTGTGACAAAGCAGAAATTTTTTACAAACAATTGTTCTCCTGAAACAAACAGATGTCTGATAGCAGCCTTACTGTCACTGAAGACCATTATAAGTTGAGCTTTCTGGTCGCAGCCACAGACTTAAAATTTTGTGACAGAACTTGAGCCGACCAATGCAATCTACCATTTTTCCTCTTATTAGGAACAGAAGATCAATCCCATCTCTGAAGATTTCATTTTGCCACTCTAAGGTGTCAATAACGTAAACTGAATTACATTTCACCATCTATATCATACAGTACAAAAGCTATTCGCACATTTTTTAGATGATTTTGCTTTTCTTAAAAATGAATTGTCTGCTTGTGAATTACTTTTTAAACTGAAGCTATGTTTTTGAAAGTATAAATTATCATTTGCTTCTTGACAGGTTTTGTTTTCATGCAAAATAGCACTTTTAAAGAAGCAATGGATGGAAGGCAATGTTTGTGTGTTTTAAAAATTATTCGTATCTAGTTATTCAAAGCTGCTGTGTAAGCCATAGCTTTTGAAATCTCAAGCTACTATAGGTATTATTGTCCAAAAAAAGGGGGGCAATGTCAATGTTTGGCTTTAAGTGGAAAAATTGTTCCAAATACATACCCAAGGAAAAATCACAATGTTCCAAATGTTGTTAAAGTAAGATCTTTAACATTGAAAAATCCACTGTTAATTTCCCGGGAAAAAAAATTTAACAAGAAACAAATATCAAGGCCATACTCTTCACTCATATAGTACATCTCCTGACATATCACTCATGAACTTTCGTGCTTTTCGGCTTTTAAACGGATTATCCAAACCTTGACCTACAACCCTCCTTGGACTTTGAAAAGCTATTCAAGAAGAATAGGATAAAATATCTCTTCGGATACTACAAAAGGCTTCATCGTCTTGGAAATTATGATGTAGGAAGATAGTGAAGAATAAGAATTATCAAACAGAACATTTTAAACATAACAATTTGAAGTAAAATATCTTTGTAAATACAATGAAAATTGTCTAACAAGTGTGTGAGCAGCCTCTGTATTATTTTTGGTTTTTTTCTTTACAGGTCATTTGATCTGCAAATCATCTTTCAATAATACACTGACTTTCACTTCTCCATCCAGTTTATCACTTTCATTCTTATTTGAACATTCCACAACCAAACCACCATTATTAACCTTTCATACATTTCAAATCCCAATTTTAAGTTCACAGGATTTATCACTTCTACTATTTGGGATTTTTATCTCTTAAGTTACCTTATTATTAAACACCAATTTACCACTCTTCTTCGGCCACATCAACAAGGCATGCTTTTTACTCTTTTTTATTTGTCCCACTTGCCATTGCGAAGTCTTTTCTCCATATTTCTTTGTTCTATTACAAAGTTCTATTACTAGTGAAAGAAAGACACACAATTTTTTCTCTCCTTTTGAACAAATTGCAAGTTGTTCATTTTCAAACAAATCAGCTCTCAGCGTTTTTGTACAATTGGAGAACCAGTTTGCCCTGTGTTAACCCCAAAGTGATCTGTGGGGATTGGCTGTTGTGACAAAGCAGAAAATTTTTTACAAACAGTTGTTCTCCTGAAACAAACAGATGTCTGATAGAAGCCTTACTGTCACTGAAGACCATGATAAGTTGAGCTTTCTGGTCG